GGCTCTTTTGCCCCCCCCCCCTAAGAACTCGCGAACGGTATGTCGTATGACCACCAAATTTTCAGAGAATAGTGTAATAGTAAAAATTTATCATATCTACAATTTTTATGTCGTTTTGACGTAATATGACGCCATTATGACGTCATTAATGTGATTTTATTGGCCAAAACCGTCTAAATAGGTTTTTCCCTTAAAACTAAATGGTATTCAACATAATTCAACAAAAGTGTTTATGACAGAATATTATGGTGTACTAAGTCTTATGTTGCCCATAGCAACGCCGGTGACGTCATAAAATGACGTCATGCATATTTCAGATATCCGCCATCTTGGATCATCAAATTTGAATTTTCAAAAATAGTTTTTTTTTCATGATAAATCCTAAAATACATTATAAACAGACTAAAGACCTTCATTTAAACCTTTTTGGGAAAAAGAAATGGAAGTATTGATGAAATTTTAATGAGAATAACCTGTATATACCTGTTCTAATGATATGGTCCGCCATCTTGGATTTTGGCCAATGACGTCATCAAATTAGCATAAATTATGCATATTTAATGATAAAATTTACATAAAATTATATGGGATGTTATTAATATTAGAAACCATGAGTAACTTGACATAAAACCCATAAAATTCTATTGTTGAAACAAAAAGTACTAAATTTAGCAAAAAATGCCTGTCAGAAACCCGTTGCCATGGCAACACAAAAAATCATTATCTTATTCCAATGATAGAGAATTGTTGCCAACAACATTCTAGGAAAAGTCACTAAGTTTGGCCGTTCTACGGCTAGCCGTTCAGACGCTAGGTGACATCAAAGTTGCCGCGGGCACTTTTAGCCCCCCCCCCGGTCTAGGTAGGGTTAAAGTCATCTACTGACTCAGAGGATAAGGCCGTTTAAACGTTAGGCGTGATATATACTTTTCATTCAGGTTCCTTAGCAAAATCAGCTTGTTTAAGCAAAAATAGCCACAGTCTTCAAAGCCCGTGCTGGAATCTAGACCTGCGTGTAGTCTTTAATTTTCAATTAAGTTTCATGATTGAAAAATTGCCATATTGATTAAAAAGGGTTTGGCAGATTGCTTAGAACAGGTTGTTTGTAAGTTTATTTTCAGCTGTTCTAGCTAATCAATGATGTAAAAAAAAACCTTTGTTTAATTGTTCCGTACATTTTGAAAGTTCCTTTTCCGAATTGCTCTATCATCAGATTATAATATTTTATACGCTCGCTGTTTATTGTCTCCAGTAAAATCCATAGGTCTACGTGGGTCTCGTCACTATTGCATTAACTACGGTATGATGCATCCACATGTATAATGTCACATTTTTCCACAATTACCAAGTGATACAAACAAGTTGTAGCTAAGATACCTTTTGGTTTGTATTTCTGTGATGCCTGAGCCATTGGTTTGGCAGGTCCAGAGGGAGCCTTTTTCCGTTTAGCCTTCTCTGGTGCCTTTGTTGCATTTCCATACTCCTGCCCTTGGATGTCCGGTATGTTTCGTTTTTATTATTTATTTTGTTTTTATTATTTATTATTTGTTTGGAGGAGTCAGCCTTGTCAAAGGATTACATGTATATCCTGTTTGCTGACTCCTCCCAGCTTCTTTCTGAAAATCCCAATAAATAAATAAATAAATAAAAAATCTGTTGACTGGCCTTCTTGCCCAGTATTTTCTGTTGAAGGAGTGATTGCATTTACAGGGTTTACACCTTGAGTTGGTCCAGGGCTGAATTTTGTCTCTTCGGTCACTTCTGCAGAAGGCATGGGGGTGTCGTCAATGGTAGCTTCCTTTCCTATAGATGACGAAAAACTTATTTAATCAGTGATACATTTTGGGAAACAGTACATTTCTGAAATATTAAGGGTTTTTGTCAAGTTCATGCTAATAACTTCTACTTTTACATAATCTGTATGTGGTGATGTTCACCTTAAAGTAACTCTACCATAGACACATGTCAACAATGTTCCATAATGTATCACTCATGTATACTTTTTATTTTTTACAATACAAAAAACAAACTATCCAACTTTCAATAGCCCTACTGTGCCCGCTTGTAAAGTTGTAACTTTACCTTCTGTTGCAATGTCCTCCAGTACAGGTGTGATTGTAGTCAGAGGGTTCGGAGTAGGGGTAGATCTAAAAGTGACTTCCTTTCCGTGTGTTGGCTCTGGTGCTTTACTTGCAGGATGGTTGCCTACCAGGTAATAGAAATTATTTGTTAAGTCACTGTGTCCATATTGCATTTTACGTTTTTTTTTTTTTACGTTAACATTAAAACAGTTCTAGTTACGGTTATATGGTTTCATGCTGGGCTGTGTGGGCAGCGCTGGAAATAAAGTGTTTGAGATCTTTTTTTGTTCCACTGATTCCTGATATCTAAAGTACGGACCTCATAACACCATAGATTAGACCTTTCTAAAGTAGTAAACAAAATGTAAGTTTACTGGTGAGACTTTCATGATGTTGTTATCAACAAGTGTATGTATTTGTTTTTATTCATTTACTAAAATGCAGTTTTCTATGCATAGTCGATAATGAATTTTTTTAGGTCATTGATTGTAACCGATATGTAAATCTTGCAGAAACACACAGCGATATTAATAGTTTTTACATGCCCATTCTGCAAACAGAAGCGGACTTAACCATGAAGCAACCAGTTACTGAACTTTCGTACATTTTGTCTGAAGTTCTCGCGCAATGTCTTTTGATAAGAAATGGTCATACTAACATAAATGTGTCAAATTACCTTTTTCTTCAACTTTATTTGTGGCACGGGTAATTGCATTAACAGGAATCCCAGCTTGGGTAGGTCCAGAGGTAAATTTTGTTCCGCCTTTTACCTTTGGTACCTTATCTGCAAGTATCTTGGTGATGTCAGGAATGAATCCTTTGCCTAGAGGTAAGTATACATATTTTTATGTATGAATTATTGCATTAAAACGAAACCCTTTTTAAAGTATAGTTAAGCTCATATTTCTCTAAAGCAGGATTATTTCCGTTTTCGGAATCAAGTTCCTATACTGGGCCTAGTTTTGAGGCCTTTACTTAAACTAAAGAGCTCTAGATGCATGTGTCATGTTATAATTACGTCATCTATTCCACAACTCTCCAGCTTACGTTGATATACAATCTACGTTATCTTTCAATGAGCAGGTACTCAATGAAGCGTAAATCATATATATCTATCTAAACAAAAATGAAGTGTAAATTCACCTTTTTCTCCATATGCCTTTGATGCTTTCTCATCTACTGCATTCGCAGTATCCAGAGCCGGAGGTTTAGCTGGTTTAGAGTTGAACTGCGTCCCTTTGCCTTTCTCTTGTGCCTTGTCCTTGTGATTGACGTTGACGTCGTCAGTGGGTCCCTTGCCTGTAGGTCGGTATAGCGCATCTTTTAGTTTACTACAGATATGGTGACTTACTTTCTTTCTTTACGTACATAAGGTTATATTTTCAGTAGCGTCAGTACATGTATGACATTGTCTGGAGGCATTTTTAAATAATAGGTAGATGTCAATGTTTTCAGGTCATTATGCACCACAATAAGCTATCGTTGGATTTTCAATTCTTTTATTTATTACAGAGATTGCTATATTTAGAATCCGTCAACAGCTTCCCGCGTAACTGCAACAGAACTTCCCATTTTTTATATCCCATTCCCTTCACATAGTAGCCTAAGGTGACTAAAAGACTGTGTGCGCGTTTATACTCACTAGCACCTTGTTATAAAACTTTTATGTCGTTTGTTTTAAAATATCTGAAAGTGGATACCTATAGAAAAGATTGACTATTTGTATTGCTATGTAGGTAGCTGTAATTATACCTAAACTATCAGATTACAATTACTCGAATTATAATCAACATCAAAAATGTTCAAATCTGCTGCTAATTTAATTGCAAATAATTGAATATAATCATAGTAAATGGCGGATATTCGCAACATATTTTACAGTGACGTTAATGTAAACATATTTTAACATACATTATTCAAATTACAATTACCATATTTGCACAGTTCGCACAATCAGAATGCTCTTTAGGATAAGATTTTTAATCAACCTTATATTCACCAACGATAAGGTGATTTACATAACTATTTGATATCTCTACTAACCTGTTGGAAACCCAAGCTGTTGGAGAATCTTCTCCATGTTGGCAGAATCACCCACTAAAGGAAACAGAATTAATTGAAGGCATCAGAACATCAACCATCTTGTAGTTAATCAATATCTGTACCGATATATGCGATCCAATATACAATATACAATCAACAGCTAAGATTTGACTAAACAGTCAGATTTTCCTTTCCTTGTGTTTGTTACATATATTTTTTAGGAAATTTGATATTTTAATACAAAGGAATGTGGGGTCGTGTGGCTTAACATGCCACTGATCTTGTGCCCTAGGGAAAGACAATTTATACGGCTTTTCTCACTTATCTCAAATAAAAATGAGTATTGTGACAGTCTATCCTGTACATTGCATTTGTTTCTATGTGTAGGACACAAAATCAGCAACATCTGCATTTGTCCTACGTGTATTGTAATGTTACAATTTAAATAAATCAAATCAAATCAAGAATTATTAGATACTAGTAAGTACTTACCCACAGCCATGGCCAGTATGGTGGCCAAGACCAATGTGGGGGTCTTCATGCTTATTGTTGAACCTACCAAGAATACAATTATATTTTTGAAAGATGTAACTATATTTTCTTACACGTAAGAACATCGATATATGTCAACGAAATGCAAGTTAAGGTTTCGTTTGCCTGATTGGTGATAATTTAAAAAAACACTATGATTGTGTGTAAATAAATAACGTTAATCTCATCCGTAATAGGGTTTAATGTTTAACAAATGTTAAAAAACGTCCCCCTTCCTTGATTCTCTCTAAAATGCGAGGCACTATGACTATATCATCGATATTGCAGCGCCGGCTTAGACCAGACTGGCAGATGATTGTGGTAGAAGAGGGCGATGCCATAGTATGAAGGCAGCAGTTATACCGGCTATACAGATACAGATACAGATCTTTGGGTAAAACAGGACTCACATTATGCTGAGGTCACTTTTCCAAACCGGGGCCCGGCCGGGCAGTTTAATGGAAAATAAGTAGGATATAAAAGACAACAAAGCACAAATAACTTTTTTTTGAAAAAAATGATAATGAGAACTTTTTGCGTACATTATTTATACAGCTTGTTTTTTTTTTTTCGTTAAGGCCACACCAAGTAAATTTTATGGATGACGTCCTTTGGAGACTCCAAATCTAATGCGAGAGGGCGAAAAAAAAACAAGAAGGGCCCAAAAAAACAAGATGCCTAGATTAGAAATATACTAAGAGATGACACATGTTAGGACACAAATTGAATGAGGTGACACAGTGTAAACAAGCAAGAAGTCTTTTATTCATCATCAAAACAGTAATGAATCAGGTGGAACAGCAGTTGTCCCGTTCTGTTTCTTTCATTACATTTTGCAGACCTGCAGAAACAAAGCATAAAAGGCAAAATTAGTTGCTGATTAACCCTTTGCATGCATTACTACATTTCTACCTATGCAAATAGTCTATAGGAGCGTTTGAGAAAGAATATCAATAAAGGTGGAACCAAACAGAATATGTTTAGAGCTATTCTACATAAGTTGCGTAATGTATTTAAGTAGGTAACAAATGTATGCCTACCTGACAAACAGGGTTTATTGTCTGGTATGCAGCAGTCTTCTCTGCTGGTATGGGCAGCGTTTCCTCCTCGCCGCAGTTCCAGCACACCAAAGGCAGCATCGTCTTCATCACCCCTGACTTCAGTCTGGCTGAATAGTAGTACTGTGCTACTGGTGAAGTGCATGTCACTGCCCTACAAGAAACAGGTGGAAAATTATGGAACAATAGTCAATTGTGCTAAAATCCAACTCTTCAGAAAAAACTTCTTTTTTTTCAACATAGAGGTTTAGGTTCTATGTTGTAGTTAAATGTACGTCTTTACTGTCCCCAAAGTGCCTTAAATTTAAAGGGTATATTCTGCAACAATCCATATCAAATGTACCTCACTACTCACCTGTGTTGTTATTGCTACATTGTTGTGTGCTCCCAGTCCCAGCGTAGGCTGGAAACATCCACTCCTGCTGACCTTGTTCTCTTGATGCTTTCATCATACCTGTATACATGTGTACATGTGAAAGGAAAAGTAAACCTTATGTTCCTAGTTCACAATAAATGTGTCTTAATGCAATCAAAGAAATT